TAACAATAACCGTTCTACAGTAACTGACCTAGACTAATGATTGATGTTGTATTGGTGAATTAGTTTATTGAAGTGCACATCGATTCCTTCCTAAGGTTGGCTCTCATCCGACGCGACTTGAACCTTGATGAAGTTCTGGTACAAACTAGAGTGGGTGGATCGGTTTGTGAGTTTCGATGATTTAGGGAGCCGGACAATAGGTTCAACCATAATTGGAAGGGGTGTTGTTAAGGAGAACCAGAATAAGACAAGTCTCTGAAGGAGGACAGCAACTCTTTCAGTACTCAGGGTAGCAGAGATCACTAGGATGCACAATACTGGAAGGCATCGGAAAACCACCACATTATGATATCCCAAGAAAAACATACCAAACTCGAATTATGGCGTCCTATGGGGTAAATCACTCCGGACGTAAACTAGTTGTCCGCCCGGGGACTACCTCGGGGGATGTCATCAACAAGTGCAGCAGGGGAAGGTGCAATATTTCACGAGTCGGAGCGTAGAATGTTAGAACCATGAGGCAAATAGGGAAATTAGTGAATTTGAACGATGAGAATATCTGGGAAAGAGAAGGTTAGAAGTAAAGAGGTATTAGAAAGAATAGGAGAACGGGGACTCATTGGAAGTCAATAAAAAATAGGCGAGATGGGTTGATAGGACACTTATGATGATGGAAAGCTGGTTGTTAGCATAAACAGCCTCAATAACACTTAATCTAATTTCTTCTCGTCGGTTATTGGCAGGATTAAAAATTGTAAGAAAAAAAATTCGTTACATCGGCTGGGAATAGAACACGTGTTATCAATGGGTTAGGTATGAAGGCATCAATGACAAAGGTCTATACGTTATTATTCTTTTATGAAATTTAACACGGTCCGAGTGGAGACCCAGAGAGAACAAGGTTCTACCCATTATTACAATTAGTGGTAAATAAGTGTATTTTAAGTATGTTTTCGACGAAACTAATAATTAGATTTGAAAATTTATGTTGTGTATCGAGGTACGTCTGTCGTAGTCGTTTCACGGTAGGAATTCCGGTGTGGCAGTGGTGGCGACAAACTTCAGCAACTTCGTTGTAAGCAATACATTACCCTCTTTGTTAACGCCTGAAGCAATTTCGTTTAATCCGAAGAAGTTCCACATACTCCTCTTACTACGTCACGCCGACGTCGTCGTCGTCTCTGGCGTCTCTGGCGTCGGACCCGGTACATAGAGATCGCAAACATTGTTTAGAGACGGTCATTATTCTCTGTCTCTTCTACGGTCCGTTCGTTATTACCTGCTTTGCCGGACCCGGTTCCCAAGTCCATTTACAAGACACACCGAAGGGGATCTCTCTGATTGCTGATTACCTCAAAAGAGGGCGAGCGTGCGGCGTGTGGCCCAAGCCACTCGATCAATTGCTTGCTGCTGTGTATCGGTCGCTCCGTCTGTCCGTCTGATGATGGTGGTACAATAATTGCATTAAACAATCAAAGTTCAAAGCGACAGGACTCGCGGACGCTTACCTCTTTCGTTTAACCGCTGATGAAACCACTCGACGTGAACGAGATCGTAAGGCTCTTTTTATCCGATTGTTTCTGTCCTCTAGATTGTTTAGGTCATTAATTGATTATCAGAAAGAAATAAATGTTGCGACTGAAATTGCCTCTTGTACTTCTAGTTTTGTTGTGTGCTTCATATAAGCTGTACGACTATACAGCGAAATGTTTAATCGATCGTAGGGAGAGGTTCTATTATATGTATATACCTATTTGAAATGGATGGGATAGTGGTAGGGTTGAATGAAAAGTCCATGGTAGTCAGTATTCTGTGGAAGTCATTAGATGTGGATCGTGATTTCGTTGGGTCTGATTAGTACTCCATAGATAGTTCCAAAAGAATACAGACGAACAGATCCTGTTGAGAACGCCATCTGTAAAATAACTGCTACATTTCGTGGGATTCAAAAATACTAGATCCATAAGAATTTCGACCTGTCAAAGTGAGCCCACGGCGTAGGTACCTTTACGTGACAGATACGTAACCAAACAGACCAAAAGATTCATGGTGGTCAGTACTACTTACGTGCCTAGCACTTAGAGGTACCTACGCCATAGGTTCAGTTCGACCCCCTTTAAAACTTTTCGGGTGTTTAATTCCCACCAGCCAGTAATGAGGGTGGGCAGTCCCTCCGGACTATGCCGGAAGGTAGGGCGGAACGCCCTCTTCTGCCTGCTTTTAGGAATCGTGGAAATGGGTGGTGGGGGGAACGGGTGAGAAAAATGAGACGGACGAAATGAAGACAGAAGAGAATGAAAGATTATCTGTGGAATGTTACTGACCCAGCATTTACCTAAGTGATCCAAGGAAACCACAGGAAAACTTGGACCAAGGCAGACGGACTCGGAATCGAACCAGCGTCGTCCAGAATGCTAAGCAATGGTCTAAACCTCTAGGGCGTGCCGCTCGGTATTCAGTTCGATAAGTCAATATCCTTATGCACTTTGTCGAACATTTTGGAATCACATATAATGTAGCAAATGACGTCCACAACGTTGTTTATAGTAGCAATTCATTAGTAAGGTTGATGCCGATTATATCGTACTACATGTGGGGCTTTTACTCCCCTACAACTATCGAACGGATTGAGAACGAACCTATAAGCAATAGGCTAATACCGTCACAAGTTTGATATGGAGTTACGCAAACTGGCACACAATTACGATAAGCACATATAATTTTGGTCTATAATAAACTGAAGAATAACAAACTATTCCACCCTTGTGATGAAAAAGTTTTAGGGAAGAATGTTAGAAGCAGTGTTAGCGTTAAATCGGATTCAACTTCATAGTAACAATCACGTCCTTCTAGTGAATATATGACCCAAGAGTTAGCTCTTTTTTGAGCAAAAAAAGATTAAGACTGCCCCAATCTTGGTGTTGCTTTTGGTCTTGCTGATTCGGTCTTGGTCTTGGTCTTGTTCAAATACTTCTAGACTTAGTCTTGATCTTGATTTTGCCGATATAGTCTCAGTCTGGTCTTCGTTTTGCAGATATTGTCTTGGTCTTGGATTTGTACGTCATACATGGTTTTACTAATTTAATCTGATACTTACGTTTTTCCAATTAATTGTTCCATGCACAAATTATTCTGTATACCGACACAACAATTGTTTTAAATGATCAAATTTTCTGTCTTACATGTGAACTTCCTTCTTAGTTTTGTATATTTTGTCTTGGTTTTATTCTTGTTCGTTCTATATTAAGTCTTAAGAGTGCAAAACTAAGATCAATTTTGCTCATCAGTACTTTTAGATTTCACAGGATGACTAACGATCCTGGAGAACCTAAAAATCATGGATTTGTCAGGAAATTTTTCTATCCATGAAAATCAGGAAATTCATGGTCTACTTGTAATGTAAATAATATTCGACATTAAAATAATTTGGTATGTTCACAAGATCCAGGTGATGAAAAAATCAAAGAAAAATAATTCCAGGTCCTTGATCTTCAATTGTTGGTAAAACCTTTGTAATTTTTGGCCTGTATTTAACTGTTACGTCGCAGACAGTATTCTAATGAACAATTTGAGTTAATATTCCGCAGCAGCGAGCAAATCTAATCGCGAGATAGTTCAATTTGTGCAATGCACTTAGCGTTTAATTGATATTTTGTTAGGAGTTGTGTGATGGCATCTGCGGCTCTCGAAGCTCAGTGCTAGGTACGCCGGGGTTGAAATATTGTCACATTAGACATGAAATTGCTTCGACTTAATTATCTCTATGTATTAGAGTTTAGTCTTTGGGGTGTCGCAATAATTCTCCTTTCGCACAGAATTTACGTTCCCTTGTTCCCGATATTTTCCTGAGCGTATCTTTGAACCATTACCATACCTATTTAACATTGGTACAAACCATCTCAAGATATGCACAGGCAAAACTGGTTAATTATACGAAAATCACGTTTCCCTTTGTTGTTTAAGTGTCGACGAACCGCCTGTATTAACATTCTAACCCTAAAGCTACAACGAGCGCACACCCTTGCTGAATAGGATTACTTAAATTGTTAAATTTTAATAACAAACTAATGAGTCTTTTAAGAAAATCTACTCACAATCGGTGGGAAACAGTATTCTTATGTAGACGTTTTACTTTGTATGAATAAAAATTCGTAGATTTTTATACTAAAAAGTATTCCCTGATAAATAATTTCTACTTATGCGCATAAAATAATGTATAGGGCGGTAACAAATTGAAATGGAATTATCGAAATAATTAAATATTTCGATTAATCCATTATGCTCAAAAATTGAAAATTATTGATTAATCGATGATTAGCTTAACCCTAAATAATATTGTATGTTTCCTTTAACAGGGAAGGAGGGGGCTATTTTTGAAGAATGGAACTTTTTTTAATAAAAATAAAAACTTGTGTGGGCTTATGTAGTATTTTATTTGAAAGCAGTTGATTATGCTACGAAAGCAGAACTGCTCATTATAAATAAAGAAAGGATTTTTAAGAAGAAAATATTTAAAGCCACATGAATCTGTTTAATTTCATACATTTTACTTATTGAACTTTGATAATTGGAAAAAGGAAATTAGTAAGTTTGTCTAGTACTCCTTTTATAGCTGCAGCAATCTTTTCAACTTCATCATAAAATAGTGGAATTGATGTCAATTCAAGAAGAGAGCTAAATATTTTTAGAAAACATTGCAGATTATTCTGCAAGTTTCAAAACAAAAAAACATTAATGCGTTTTCTACAATTTTTCTTGCGTTTAACAAAAATACAGTAATATTAGTCAAGTTGACGATAAAAGCTAGAAAAGTGGCGAATAGTGATGTCTGCTCGGTGTTCATCTATTGCAATCCCTGTGCTTGTGAAAGTTGTTGATGCGCGCCCCCCACTCATCTAGTCCGTGTTTCCACGACAGGCTGTTGCTTGCTCGACTCAAGACGATTTATATTAGTTGAGCAACATGGACGACAGTGCCTAGCTAGTCTGTAGATGGCGTATCTTTTCTTACTTATTTTAGTAATTAAATAAAAATTAAATAGTAGGTGAATATATACATGGATTACAAAGTATTTTACGAACTATAGCATGTACGTTAATGATCAGTAAATGCCCTATTATGTATTATGTATCTAATTTAAAGGTTTTATTTCAGATTTTCGACAAGATGGCTGGTGAATATCACGATCCTCTTCTCCATTATGACTTAAACCACAACAGCGTAATACATTTCGTAATGTATCGATTACAAAGTAAGTGATAGATATTTAGATTTATTTTTCATCAAGGATTACAAACGAATATAAAAATTTGTGTATTATACCTGGGTATAGGAAGGACATGCATCATCATCATCATCATAAGATCATCAGTCCTAAGACTGGTTGAACACGCACCTTCACTCCTTCATATCCTGAGCCAATCTTCGTATTTTCCTAAAACTAGAGCATCCCACACCTGTAACTATTTGCGAACAGTAATCTAATCCAGGTGTACCTCTATTTCTCCTAACTCCTGTTTCTGCCTCTAATATGTTTCTGACTAGACCTTCATACCTGAGAAGGTGTCCTACCAACCTATCTAGTCCATTCCACCGAGTCCTCTGTTCTCCTGTTATTTCTAATACCTCTTCATTTCTAATCTTCTGTATCCACGGTATCCTCATTATTCGCCTATAACACTACATTTCGAACGTGTGCCTGTTGCTTTTTTTACAAACTACGTAACACTCTTCTATCTCTGTAACTTATCCCTACATTTTTAAGTATATTTAACATCTTGTCTTTTCTAAATCTACTAAAACTATGTACGCGCTGTTTACTTTCTGTATCGTTTTCTCTATTGTTACCCGTAAAGCAAGAATGGCCTCCCGCATTCCTCTAATTCTTCTAAAGCCAAATTGATCTTCCCCTAATGGTTCTTCTGCCCGTTTTTCCATCCTTCTCTGTACATTTCTAGTTAAGATTTTTGACGCATGAGAAGTTAAGCTAATTGTTCTAAATGTTTCGCACTTATCCACGCACCTCTTTTCAGCTATGGTTACTACCACGTTCCGTTTATAATCCTCCGGGACTTTCCCCGTCTCGTAAATGGGACTAACTAATACCTTAAACATACGATCTCCAACCTCTTGTCCTGCATGTTTTCAAATTTCCGCCTGTATCCCATCCATACCTGGTGCCTTATTATTCTTTAAGTTTTTTAATGCTACATCGAACTCTTCTCTCATTATGGGATAATCTAGGACATGTATAAGGAAATGTGTAATTTTTTATGTTACGTTCGGTGAATTTTTTTGTGTTACCTCTGTATGTAGATATAAGATCTAAATTTCTAAACCCGTGTTTTTTCACAAATCTCTCATGACACTCACACACTTATCATGACGGTGCAAATCCAGACAATAAGTCATTTTTTTCCCGAGTTCGCTTGGCGGCTTATGTGGAGGAATTTTAACGATATACACTCCCTAAAAAAGCCCTCGACAAAATGGGGTGGTGCACAACTTTACTGAGGGTTTTATTTCAAAAACATATTTGTTTCCGTCAGATGGAATACAGTGGGTTGAATCATGAAATGTGAACATGATTGGAAAGGGAGTTAGCTGCAAAGGGAGGATTATTTAACAATCTCTGACAAAATTAAATTATAAATACGATAAGTAGTGTTACTAGACTACTAGAAATAAGTTGATAATGATAGAAACAGTTTCCTTTTCTTGGTTAATAACCAAATAGAATTAGCAGTGTACCTGTTTAATTCGTTCTACTTTTATACACATATCTGTTAAGTAAGTCTAAAATCCAAGTAGTACTAATTTGGCTTCCTTAGTACTAAGATCAGAATTGATCAAAATTTCACTGTGGTTGTAGTGGAAAACTACAACCTTCTTTCTGATTATTAATCATCATCATAAGGTTGTCATTTCTAAGACTGGTTGGACACGCACCTCTACTCCTTCCTATCTTAGCATTCCTCTAAAACAACCCACATCCTTAACTATTTGCGAACAGTAGTCTAATATAGGGCTATCTCTACTCCTCCTAACTCCTTCTGCCTCCAATATGCTGAAGAAGGTGTCCTACCAACCTATCTCGCCTATTTGTTATTGATTTCCATAGAAATCTCTATAATAATGATCTTAAAAAAAGACCTCTAATGAAAGAATTTTACTACGGGATATTAAAAAGAAAAATAAACGAAAGGAGTAATCATTTTCAGTGCATTTTTCGAATTCCAATTTGAATTGTTGAGATAGCATTATCGTAGAAGCAAACAAGTCAATTTACTATCATATGCATGTATTTTGGGCGAGTACTACTTCGGGAGTTGTCATTAAGAAGTGCAATAGGAAAAGTTGCAAAATTTCGTAAGTCGGAATGTGGAATGTTGGAACAATCAGGCAAACGGGGAAGTTGAGAGGGATATGCCAGAATTAAACATAATAGGCATTAGATCGTTGACCAGAAGCTGGACGCAGTGGAAGTCAATGCAAAATAGGCGAGATAAATTGGTAGGACAACTTTTCAGGAATGAAGTGCTGGGCAGAGACTTATTGGAAACACAAACATGAGTTAAAAGGGATAGAGGTAGGTCTAGGTTAGATTACTGTTAGTGGTTGCGAAGTGTTCTACTTTTAATGCGAAGATTAGCTCATGTAGTTGAGGTGCGTGTCCAACCAGTCCTAACTGACGACTTTATGATGATGATGATATTTGAAAATATTGTATCCCTTTCTTTTTTCCTTCTTAACCCCTATTTTTGTTACAAAAGCTTTGAAAACTCTCTGATACATGTACTTCTACATTTTATTATGAAGTAATTTAAATGCTTTTTCGGATTTGAAGTGGTTTAAAAATAGTTGTTTACAACAATAGGTCTATTTTTAAAAAAGATATTGCGCCATTGTTTGGAATATGATTGAATTGGATTAAGGCGTTAGAAATTGTTTTTTAACGAATGGCAAAGTTATGTGGGTGTCGATTTTCATAAAATTAAATTAAGGTCTTTTTTTTACCATTTCATATTCTAATTTTAACCGTTACTGTCATAGGTAGAGTAAAAGCTAAAAGATTTTCTCTTCGACAGTAGCACGGCTTTTAAGGTTGAATGCCCGAAACCAATATCTGCTGCCTTTCAAGAAGTAATAACATTTACCCGGTAAAATGTCGAGCAATTACGCGAACCCGTAACGTTCAATTTTTTTTACAATATTCCAATACGGTTTCTACGAAGTTCTCTATATTTATAACGTTGCGTCATTTTTTATTCATCTTAATTGATTTTATTTTCATTTAAATAGGTACATGTAAACATCGCGAACAAAAAAGGATATTTAAGTCCTTCAATCCTTGCTCGGTAACAAACTTACCGGATGTAATATTGTCTGCTTTGACAACATATTTACACACTAACCTAACCTACCTCGAGGTTGTTCTTTTCAATCTTTGAGTAGCTAGAAAATAAAGATACATGTATATAACATAATGATTTAATTAGTTTACTTAGTTTGCATAATCACTATATAGAACGGTCAAGGTTATAGAAGTTTGCGACCAATGGGGTCACGTACGTCTTGACAGAGTTCTGAAGTTCTTCGTTGGTGGAAAAGGGTTGTTTATCGGACCATATTCAATATATTACTGTCGAAGGAGATGAAAACCACTAGGTGCGAGGTCTGGACTATACGGCGGATAGCCGTGGTTTTCATTTAAGATCGCACTGTGTCAACATGATGATAGGTTTTCTTAAACCATTCAAGTGGTAGTTTTCGATCATATACCGTATAGGCCAGACCTAGCAGCGAGTGATTTTCATATCCTTAAACAATTGTAGACGTGGTAGGTAGACAATGCATTGGCGATAACGAAGACCTTCACAACGATGTCGAAATGTCCTTAAGTCAATGCCAATATGATTCTCATTGCATTGTCCATATGTGACCATCATGTCCTCATATTTTACATGTGAATGCATGGGTGTTTGTTTGTTATTTTCAAATTATTAGATTAATTTTCGTATTTTGTGGTAATACCAGCAACTTTAACAAAAATAGTGGTATGCAAGGGAAGAAAAAGTAAGAAAAGAGCGAATGTAAAGATAGGAGACGGAAGATTAAAAGAAGTGGCTGATTTTAGGTATCTAGGAAGTCAGATAAGTAAAGACTAAAGGAGTAGTACGGATATAAAGTATACAGTATAAAGGTCGAGTCGTCTTCAATAAAAAAAGTCACTTCTATGCTCGCGAACGATTAATTTAAAAATTCTAAAAATATAGTTAAAGGTGTATGTTTGGAGCGCGACGTTGTACGGGTGCGAAACATTGACAGGGGGTGCGGCGGAAAAGAAAAGGTTAGAAGCGTTCGAAATGTGGTGTCACTGGCGAACGATGAGGATACTGTGGATAGAGAAGATTATAAATGAAGAGGTATTAGAAAGAATAGGAGAATATAGGACTCTATGGATGTCAATAAAACATAGGCGAGATAGGTTGATAGGATACCTTCTCAGACATGAAGGTCTAGTCAGAGACATATTAGAGGCAGAAACGGAAGTTGGGAGGGGTAGAGGTAGACTTAGATTAGATTATTGTTCGCAAATAGTTAAGGTTGTGGGATGTTCTAGTTTTAGGGAAATGCGAAGATTAGCTAAGGATAGTAAGGAGTGGAGGTGCGTGTTCAACAAGTGTTAGGACTGACGATAATGAATACCAACTTTGTCATTGGAATAATAAACTACTACTATTCGTCGGCCTGTCTACGTACCTGCTGTTGCGAAGGTGACGAATAGGTATGAGTGTTTCACCACTTGACGCATGCGGTAAGGAAGGGCCAAACTGGCACTGTTCTTAATCATTGACGGGGGTTGTTAACTGGGCTACTTATTGTACATATTTTTATACTCATTACGTTGTGGCGTTGTCACGACATGTACTTTAAATGTCTCCAGATGTTATCTTTCAAATATTTCGGAATACTGATCAGACATAGTGTTTAGAAATAAGTAAGACACTACTTATCACTAACCATCCGTAACGAAAGAAAAAATAACCTTAACCTTCTGTCCTGATACTTTAAGAAGTCGAAAGGATAAAAAACTAATACGAAACTAAAAAATAGTATTTTCATATTCATCTTTAGTATTCTTTTTATTGCCGTTCTATTGTTTTATAATTAACTATTTAGGATTCCATGAGTCGGGCGACAAAGCATTTTTGACAAATGGTTCGTCGTTGGTATCGTCTTGTTTTCCTT